AAGAGGCACATATACCCTTTGTTTACTTGTCAAAGTCAGGTGTTTTGAATAGGCTAATTGTCAAGCATCTGTGATGTTAATTGATTTTTGAAGTTTTCTCAGCGAGTGAAATTTGACAGATGTCAGGTGATTTGACACGTTAAAAAAAGGCCTTTTCGAAAACACTGATCCGATTAACCCGATCACCAGCTGTTTGTCTTTTATCTTCCTTCAATGAATACGATTGAAAAAAGACCAAGGATATCAGCATTTCCGAAAAGGCCTAAAGATAAGTGATCACGTGACGTCTATCAAAATTTGCTCTTTTTGCTCGCAGATGCAATTACCGAACCCAGTCCGTAATTTATTTTTATGACGTCAAAGGGGAGGCAAATTATGATTCCGCCTCGGGCGAAAATAGCCCATGCTACGTACGCCACTGGAAAAAATACTCTACTTTAACAAAACTCAACTAGAAAAGTTATTCTTGATTTTTGATCATTTTTCTCTATACGAATCCTATGAGATAATAAGGAATTTGAAAAGAATTTTGTCTCCAATAAGAATTAGAGCCAATATCAAAACATGGAACTTTTGCTATTGCTCTGAATGTAGGAAAATATGAAATAATCTCTAAAAAATATGAGCTAATCATATAGAATTTGCACAAGGCTGGCAAAAACCCGGGTTTTTGAAAAATTTCTTGTGGGGTTTTACAGGTTATTGTGATAGTTTTGTTTATTGTATATTTGTTTCAAATTCCAAAAGTTTTGCACCTGAGGAGCTTCAAAATTGAATTTATCAAACATGACACTGAAACAATTTTTGCCTCACAGCTCCGCTCATTTTCATCTGATTCCAACGGTATTAAGCTCAAATTAAAGCCAATTAAATTCTCTACAAACCTATGTTGATTAATATTTTAACTTGGTTTCAACAGTATATTGCACCTGAGAAGCTTCAAAATTCAAATTATCGGACAATTCGGACATTCAGGATTCTAGTGAAAGTTTTTTCCAGGTTATAATGCCGGTGGTCCATTAGTATTTCTACCTAACGTTTCGTCTACTGCTGCGGTAGACATCTTCAGAGCAGGCTTCTTCCAAGAAAATTTTCATGTGTGCATTTAACCAATGGAAAATTGTGCATATTCGTTCGAGATTGTGCACATGGTTAAAAATGACGTAAGTGACGTCATTAATAGCGCCATCTCTTGGGTTTTACAGAAACAGTGATGATAATGGAAGTAACCCGCCATTATGTGGCTCATTTGGCTCTCTTCACCCCAGCAGTTCGAAATGTTTTGAAAATTTGTTTGAAAATGACGTCATTACTTTCATTAGGTTTTCAAACCAGAAGAATTTACACAATACGTAACCTAGAATTTTTGTTTGTTTTTTATGGTAATTAAATAATTACTACTGATCTATTTTCTATTTTTCAAAAATGTAAGAGTGTTCATTGATACCATAACCTCCTGCACAAGAAACAACACACGTATAAACATAAAATAACAGTTTATTTTCCTCAACTATTGCGCATGCGTTTGTTTTTGAACCGATGCGAAATCTCGCCTCAAAATATTTTCAAACAGTTTTGTTATGACGTCATTAATTAGCTCAACGCAAAATAAGTTCAACGTTTAATTAATTTAAGCGGGAAAAAAAAACTTTGAGTATAACTTTCAAAATAAATAACAGATGTCAGTAACTACCAAGGATAATACACACTACTAAAGATTGCTTATCGGCCTCGTTTTTGACGTTTTTAGTAATGGCAGCAAATATCCAGTTAAGTTCTGCAAAATTTTGTAGGGGGCGCGAGTGAACTTGGAGGGCTTCAAATTTTGGCGGTAAATGTCAATAGTGTTAAACCGTTTAAATTGAGTAGAAGGAAAGATAACTACAATATGAACAATGGACAATGAATAAGTTAAAATACCTTTCAATTCTTCCAAAGCATTCAGTGGCCTTTAGAGAATATTTTTGAAAGTGACAGTGTCAGCTTGTCTTGCAACCACACGTCAGACTTAACTTTTGTGGTTCATTTACATTCACTTCAAAGTCCAATTTGTCTTGAAATTGACGTGCTTGCCATATGGCGATAGCACAGATCCATTTACATTGAAATAAATTTGAAGTTCACTTCGAAGTGCACTTTAAATTTAGGCGAGCTGCTTGCCGAGGACAAGTAGAAATTTGTGAAATGTCAAATTTTTAGATTATCCATCCGATTCTCATAAAATTCTGACGTTTTGATTTGACGTTTATGTTCTGCAATGTAAATGATAAAATATCAAACGTCAAATTTAACTTGAAGTTAGAAGTGAATGTAAATGCTCCAAGGTTGAAATTACAATGAATTATTTACGCGCCAAAATTTAAATAGCTCCAAGTACAGAAGCGCCCTCTCCAACTCAATTGTCAATATTACATGCCATTGGCGCCACATTGGTGTATCACCATTACCGACATCATTAACTAAGTGCTGAATTACAGAAGCTCTGCAACAGCAAGATACAAATGCAGGACCTGCAAATCTGACTTTTTGTATTACAGAATGCATTTGCAAGTCGCCTGCAAATTTGCGCATAGCGAAATGGTCCCGTAAGTTCTTGCAGTCACTTTGACAACTTTGACATTTCAAACTGGTAAATCAGTAGCGCCCAAACACTTTTTTGACAAATATGACGGACTTGCAGGTTTTTTTTCTGTAATTTACTCGTTCCTGCAAATAGAGCACATCTGCAAGTCGGCCATATTTGCAGAACTGCAAATTTGCAGATGCAAATATACTGTAATTTGGCCCTAAGTCATCAGCGACGTCAGCTGTTTGCGCCAGCGGTTGTAGTTAAGAGGCGGAATCGTAACTTGTGCAAACAGCCTACGTCAAGGCGAGAAACGACATGTTGCCTACGTCACAACTGGTGATTTGGCGTGGTGGGGAGCTTCAGATTTGTTCTACACTGACCTTATGAGGATAGGCTATCTTGTAGTAGTAGTATGAGTACTTGAGTAACCACAACCAAGGCCCAAGGCGAGGTTGCCAAAAGTTTGCTTATGGAAAATAATTTTGTTTTGGCTGGATTGTGACAGAAAATTGTGCATATTTTATGAAAATTGTGCATATTGAGATCAAATTGTGCATAATATGCACAATTGTACACAATATGCACAATTGTGCACCTTGGAATATCCCTGCTTCAGAGGCGGTGTGGTAGAGGACGAAGTGTTCCTCCGATGACTGGATTCGACGTTGTTGGACCTGCGTTATTTATATTCATCAGGGTTGTGAGAGTGGATTGTATTCCGCTATTTTCATTGTCTCGTTCTTGGAAAGGAAGGGTCTTTGTTTTACGGAGAACTGGCAACTTAATAATTATTTCTGTATGAATAGGTTTTTGACACAAAAAGTCCAAAGCCCACTGGGTTTTTATTCAATATTGATGATGGATGTTTGTGTCAAAAACCCATTGGGTTTTGAAATGGATTTTTGTGTATGCCAATTAACTCTGAATCTGAAGCTTATCAAAGACTATTTCAATCCATCCAAAAAGATTCCTAGCTCAAGATCTACAAGAATCTCATGTTGCTCTGAATCTTTAAAATTGAGAGATTTTTGAAGACTGCATTCCTAAAATCTGATCTGTACCTTTAGAATCCTTTGACTCAAAAGCCCCAATGGAAAAAACCTACTATGGCTTTGAATCTGAGGAACAAAAATCTGAGTCTAGATATGGGCAAGCCGTAGAATCTGAAGCTTTCTCATCTGTATTCTTCAAAATCTGAGCTGTCATGATCAAATTCCTAGATAGGCAATACAAGAATCAGATATTGCTCTGGTTCTGAAAAACAAGAATTATAAAACTCTGGAAATAGGAGCAAAACATATGGAACTTGAAACTTCTAAATTTAAGAAATATCAGTTTGAGAGCTCTTTTTTGACCTTTACTACACTTACAGAAGCTTGGAAATTCTATTCCTGGAGCTTCTAGATAACTGAACTGAAGAGTGGACTCTGATTTTTGTCTCCTTATTCAAGGTCGTCTTGAAAAGTTGATATAACAACGTTATAGAACTGAATATTTTGAACTAGAATAGGTAGGAAATGATATTCTCAAAAATCACAAATTTTTGAAAAATTATAGAATTCAAAATAGAGCTCTTATCAAAGTTTCTAGATTATTAGAAATATTTTCTAGATGGAAAAGTCACTGTACCTACTAGCGTTAAATTTACAAATCCACTGCCATTATTTGAAATCTACTAGGGGTCAACCATCAGCCAAATTTGTTCACTGAATACAAAGGAATACATATAAGGCATACATAAGAATACATGAGATTACATGAGGCTTGTACACTGGAATTGAATACATTGGCGGTTCATCCCTCGTATAAGATTGTATCGAAATTATTGTGGAATCTATGCAGGTTGATATAATTAGAGCTCATAGAAAATATACAGAAAAGTGTCTATTTTTCTATAGAAGGTGTAGAATTTAATGTGGTTACAAATTATTTTGGAAACTCTAAAACTTCTTTTTCTTTTAAATTAATTAAAATGGATCATAGGAATTTGCTGATAAATAATCAATATTATTTTGAACTCAAAAAATGGTTTTCAATATTTCTCTATTTCCGATACATAAGATATTAGTCACATATCGCTCTCCATGTTAAAGTTCTGAAACATTGTTTACCTATATGTATATAATAGAGTAAATCAAGTGAATAATCATAAACAATGCGATCAGTGTAAAAAAAATTAATGTCTAACCTTGCCCTCGACATTTTTTTTTATTAGAATACGTAAGGTGTTAAAAGAAATGTTTTAACATATTATTAATTTACTAGAAAAAATAAGGAGCTTTGTGTGGTGAGAAGGTCAATGATACCCAAAAAAGTTCTTATGAAAATTTAATTCATTGCTTAACAAAAAATGGTCAAAGCCTTTAATTTAAACAAAAAAAAAGAAAACGTTTATTGAAACCTAATTTATTTATAATAATTTTTCTTTGGCAGTGCACAAATTTGTATACAAATAATAGCTCTAATTACCTATATGTAAATAATATTCTGAATAAATAAACCACAATTTGCTGCAAAAAATATTAATAGTATTTGCACTATTTATTTTTAAACAAATATAATATACAATTTTACACAATATAATTAATTAATATATTTTAAGCCATCGATCGATAGAGTATTCCAACGCAGAAATCCATCTATGAAAAAATAAATAGTTTATTATTCGATACACATAAAGTAAATTAATGAATTAATTACCTTCTTCTATCTGTATCAGATTCAGCATGAAAATAATAGTGTTTCTTATCATTGTCTGGTGGAATGACTTCAAAAGCATATTTTTTCGATGAAGAAATTTGCTGAACTTTATATCCATGAAGCAATGCTACACCTAAAATACGATGATTGTATATGAAAAACTACTTATTATTGTTTATTTGATATTTACCAGTTGCATTTGTAGCATTCGCATCAGGATAAAAATACATAGCAGCATCTTTGAGAACACAATACTGTCTACACCAAGATTTCCATTGAGTTCCCAATTTTATCAAATATCCGAAACAATCTGGATCCCTGATACTACTTGGAGCGATTGATATATTTCTTTTGGTTTCTTCTAGATAGGTATCTACTGCTTGGCTGTCGTTGATGGATTTTTCGATAAGATCAACCTATTAAAATAGTTTTAGGAATTATTTACTCAAAGTTTATGGATATAGTTTTTTACCCATCGATTTCTAATTTCTTTTGTATCTGCGGCTAGATAAAGAGGCACAGAATCTTCACTACGAATTAAAAATGTATTGGCTTTCATTGGTTCAGCATCGCTTTCAAGCTCTACAACCTTTTGATCAAAAAGCATCACTACTCCTACAGGCTGCTTGTCCTACAATTAACCAATTCAATTAGGAGTTACTAATAATAATTATTTATAATTCTTACGCTATCAGTCTTATAATAATAAAGGCAATTGTTCTTTTTGAGGCAAAACCATCGACGAATATATTTATTAGTCGGTTCTCCTTTAGCGAAACCACTCAGTTTCCATAAATATCCACTAAAAATTGTACCAGGTTCCGATTCTTCGTCTTCTTTATTCAAAGCATAACTTGTTCGTGCCACCTATAAATAATCAGTTACTCAAAAATGTTACCAATATCAATGGCTTACCTCTAAAGTTAAAGTATCGCTTCCGGCATGAGCAATTTGAACAACATCCGAATGGCTTTTTTCTAAAACATTCACTCTATTTACAGTTATAATAATATCGCCAACTTCTAGTCCTGACGATTCGGCCGGGGTTCCAGGTTCTATTGCAGTTACGACCACTGGTTTGGAACCGTGAATTCTAAAACCGAATTCTCCGGATTCGCGTTGTACGACGATGGTTTTGTCAGAATCTGGAAAATAATACATTTGTTATTCAAATAACTTATAAATAATTATTGAACAAAGATTCACCAAAAATGAAAATGATGAAGTCACCCATAAGTTCCGCAACAATCCACTTATTTGTACTTGAACAATAACCACTGTCAGAATTTGTAAGATTATCCACTTTTTGTCAATTGCCTTTTAATAGGAATTAATAATGCTACTTTACCAAACTAGTAATATATTGTGACAAGTTATTCCAGTACAAACGAGTGGATTGTTGCGGAACTTATGGGTGGACCCAGCCATCTATTCACCAATATGTTGTTCAACTACAATACTAACCTGATTTACTCAGTTGTGAATTTTTCTCATTAGTTCAAAAACTACATGCTTCAGGTGAGTGTCTTATTTGAACAATTCAATAGTATATTGATGAGTAGATGGCTGCGGAACTCGCTGCGCTCGTCCCGCAGAGGTCCACCCATAAGTTCCGCAATAATACACTTATTTGTACAGGGTATTTTTTTATATATTGACACCCCACCTACAGCTTTTACCTTCACAGGTAAAAGAAAGGTGTAAATACAAAAGTTGTACATTATTGGCTAAATTTTTAAAAATCCAGCCAAAACTGTACAACTTTTTTATTCACACCTTTCATCTACCTGTGAAGATAAAGGCTGTAGGTGGTTGTCAATATATGTATACAGAAATACCCTGTACAAATAATAAGTGGATTATTGCGGAACTTATGGGTGGACCTCTCCAGCCATCTACTCACCAATATACTGTTGAACTGTTCAAATAGGACACTCATCTAAAACGTGTAGTTTTTGAACTAATGAGAAAAATTCACAACTGATTGAATCAGGTTAGTATTATACTTGACCAACATATTGGTGAATAGATGGCTGGGTTCACCCATAAGTTCCGCAACAATACACTCGTTTGTACTTGAATAACTTGTCACAATATATTACTAGTTTGATAAAGTAGCATTACTAATTCCTGTTAAAAAGCCGATTGACAAAAAGTAGATAATCTTACAAATTCTGACTTTATATAATAAGTTATTGTTCAAGTACAAATAAGTGGATTGCTACGAAACTTATGGGTGGACTTCTGCGGGACGAGCGCAGCGAGTTCCGCAGCCATCTAATCACCAATATACTATTGAACTATTCAAGTAAGACATATAAGACATATAATTTTTAAACTAATGAGAATAACGTACATTTGAGTGAGTCAGTTTATTATCGTATTTAAACAACATGTTGATGAATAGATGGCTGCGGAACTCGCTGCGCTCGTCCCGCAGAGGTCCACCCATAAGTTCCGCAACAATTCACTCATTTGTACTTGAATAACTTGTCACATTACTTATGTAACTAGTTTGGTAAAGTAACATTATACTAATTCCTGTTGAAAGGCAAATTGACAAAAAGTGAATAGTCATAATCTTACAAATTTTGACTTTATATAATATATGTAAGTACAAATAAATGGATTATTGTGGAACTTATGGGTGGATCGCAGCCATCTACTCACGAATATACTGTTGAACTATCCAAATAAGACACTCACCTGAAACTTGTGGTTTTTGAACTAATGAGAATAACTGACATTTGAATGAGTTAGGTTAGTATCGTACTTGAACAACGTATCCTACCATAATCAATCCTGATATAGATCTACCTGTGATAAGGCCTGCTTCCAAAAGGAGTGCAAAAATTAGCTTTTTAGCTAACCATGTGAAATTTGTCGCAAGATTCTATGCAGAAATTGCTCTGGAGTAAGGAGCTCTGAGATCCGAGTTCTCATAATGAAAGAACGCTGCCTAAGATATTTTTGTACAAGCTGTATGGACTGTTTCCAAGCACTGCCGGGGTTTAGCTCAAGAATTCACGAATTCGAAGCAGAGATGGAAAAGCTCAAAACCGACCAAAGAGTTGTGCTATGCAATCAGAATTGTGTGTTATCGAGGATGATGTAGCAAAATTAGATAGACAGTTTTCTCCTATTCCTGCCAATGACCAGCTTACTATGGATGGTATTAAAAACGGAACTGGAAGGCACCTGCAAAGCCATTTTGGATTCTAATAAGGAACTTGTTGCATTCATGTCCAAGTCCTATACACGCCTGGCAAGTAAACATCTTGCATATCAATTTTAATGCGATAGAATGAAATGTCTGAAGAAAGTCTAAGGTTGAATAGAGAACGTAAACTGTTTCACCTCTAGCATTCCCAGCGCTTTTTGCTGGAGGTGGAACAGGGGAAATCGTTTTCGTTCTCTATTTAACCTTAGATTTTTTCTAAAAATTTCGAAAGGGATAAAAGTAAAGAAATATTTGAAATATTTACTATAAAAAGCTCTGTATCTCCGTTATCCTTTATGTTACAAAAAAAAAAGTATAAACACTTTTTATAGAGAATTAAATTCTCCACAAAAAAGGTTTCTTAAGTTTTCTTGAAAAAACTAATAGAAACTAAGATATTTGAAAAAAAAAAAACGGCCATTTTTTTCAACCTTCCACCCCTAGGACTGAATGGGACTTTTAAGAGGTTAAATAAGAGGTCACTTACTAAACATTCCCGCTGGAATCAGCTTGTTGCTAATTTGTTGCACCCTGATCCCACAGATTCACTCAGCTAAAAACTAACCGAATCTGGCTTACTTTCAAAAGGCCTGTATCCGCCCCTGATAAGAGAAGAAATACAAATACCTAATTTCTTTTCAACGCACTTTTAAATTGTAGTATTATTATTATTCATAAAGCACTTGTTAGTATATGCATAGTAAAAAAACAAAGCATTATTAGATCATAAGCATATTATTTATTACCTCGTTTCTAATTATACAGACCATTATTTTTATTACAAATCTGACCCAAAGCTGACTTTTCCCTGCACCATACCAATAACATAAGCTTAAAAATTTCCTCGAGTTTTTGTTTGAGATCCATTAGATTTTCCGGAGAATCAGCCTCATCTGGCACAAAAACTATTGATTTAATTCATTAAATATGCAATTATAATTAACATACCGAACGCCATAATAATTATAAAAATTCACTCGCATATGCGGACTGCAGGTTTGAATTGGAAAAACCTATTTTAAAACTTAGAACGTACGGAAATAACTCACTCATAAATGCTGGGGAGTTTCATTTATAGCGCCACCGCATTCCGATCTATATCCGTGAAAGCATTTGGAAATCGATTTTTATTATGAAATTTGAATAAAAATTGAATTTTTGAATCTAGAGCAAATAACCTGTGAAAAATTAGATCGAAAATATAGCTCAAGGGATTCAGCAATAATTAGAACGAGAGAAGGAATGAGAGACATTGAAAAATATAGCATGTAGATAAAATATTCAAAAAGCTGGGAAAAGCTATTTTGAAGATTATTATAGATGAATGGATCTTTAAACCAAAATAAGCTTCTTCTGCTCTATTGGCTGGTAACCACTCTAATAAATGTGGCCACACGCTGGACTAGTATGGCCATTTATTTGGGTTAATATTGATATCAGAATCAAGTTGTCAGTAAGTCCAGCTTTTCCAGAAATCTCTTCTAATCAAGAAGTCAATGTTGCAAGATCATTTTTGATAATTGATACAATGGTCGACAATTAATTGAGGCAAATTTCTAATTGTGATTTTATTTGCTAGAAGGATTTTCCTTTTTTTCCAGGTTATGGGCGATCTATTGCCACTTTTCTTCAAATTCAAAAATTGTTTTATGTAATTTTTTTTTGTTTTGATCACTTTCGAGTAATTTCTCAAAGGCTTTCGACAGGGTTGATCATGGTATTATGGTTAAGAAGCTTGAAGCTATTGGGATCTTTGGAGACCTTCTCAATTGGTTTGAAAGTAACTTAACAGGTCGAAAGCAAGCTGTAAGAGTTAAACATTATATTTCGTCAGAAGTGGGTGTGACATCGGGTGTTCCACAGGGAAGTCACCTTTCTACATTTCTTTTTAATGTTTTTATCAATGATCTGAAGGACGTTTTTTGTTTTTGTCAGTTTCTCGCATTTGCAAATGATTTGAAGCTTTTTAAATTTATAAAATCAGCTCTAGATTCTCAATTGCTGCAGGAGGACCTTAACAGGTTTTCTTCAGGGTGCAAAACTTAATCTTGATAAATGTAATATTATAACCTTTAGTAAATTGAAAAATCCAGTTCTTTTTAGCTATTGCTTGAACTCTGAGAGGCACTTTCAAAGAGTTGTACTGTGCACTTGTCCGTTCAATTCTTGAGTACGCAAGTTATGTATGGCATCCACATTACTTGATACATAAAGGAAAATTAGAAAGAGTTCAGAGAAAGTTTCTTAGAGGAATAGGTTTTAGATTGCGTATGTCATATGAGAAGATAAATTGTGATGAGATTATGAAACTTTTAAAGGACCCTGCCCAAAGTATAAGGAAATTGTGTTTATGTTAGAATTGGCTGAGTTTTGTATGTAATGTAGATCACGCCTTTCTGATTAAAAGTTACCATTGCACCAATCCTGAAAAATTATTCTACTCACCTTACCTATTTGTGTTACATTGTATGTACTTGAATGATAACTTATTATTAGATTATCAACTTTTTGTCAATTTGTCTTTCAACAGGAATTAGTAATGTTACTTTACCAAAATAGTAACATAATGTGACAAGTTATTCAAGTACAAAAGAGTGGATTGTTGCGGAATTTATGAGTGGACTTCATCTATTCATTAATACGTTGTTCAAGTACGATACTAACCTGACTCACTCAAATGTCAGTTATTCTCATTAGTTCAAAAACTACGAGTTTCAGGTGAGTGTCTTATTTGAATAGTTCAAAAGTATATTGGTGAATAGATGGCTGCAGAACTCGCTGCGCTCATCCCACAGAGGTTCACCCATAAGTTCCGCAATAATCTACTTATATGAACTTGAACAATAACTTATTATATAAAGTCAAAATTTGTAAGAATATGATTATTCACTTTTTGTCAATTTGCCTTTCAACAGGAATTAGTAA